TTCGGGTGCTGCTGGGGCAGCCAGCAGATTAGGGGAGCTGCAGGAAAGGAGTGGAAAATGGAGCAGGGCAGACACACCCCATCACTGCCCGTGCCCCGGGGTGAGCCATCCTGCAAGCTGCACCGGGTAATGCCCCCGCTCATCGGCCACAGCAAGGCCAGTGGGCGGAGACTAGCCTTGACCCCCTGGTAGTGACCGAGGTGGTGACCTCGTTCCCAGCTGGAGAATCCTTGTATCACCCCGCTGGGATGGGGGGAGAACCCGCATTCCCGCTGCAGCCTCCGCGGCTGGTTTTTTTTTGGCAGATCCCAGCCCCGCCGCTGTAGTGCATCCTGCCAGGAATGAAATCTGATGAGCGCAGCCATAAATTTCTCGCGGACGTGGCGCTGAGCCCTGCATGCTGATGCTGCATTCAGCCCTTCGCACAGCGTTATCAATTCTGCAGCAGGAAAGCCTCGCTTAAGTGGCAAGGTGCAGGGTTTGCCTGGAACCAGCAGAATTTAGCACCGGGCACGATCGGGCCGGGCATGGCTGAGAGGGCTCATCAGCCCTTGCAGAGCAGGGCCAAGGGATGGTACCAGCACTGGGACTGCTCCCCCCTCGTCCCCTGTCACTTTGCACAGGGAAAGCCTGTCTAGCTACAGCATGGTCAGCGCGTGGATGTGCCTGAAAGGCAGTCCCAGGCTGCGGGCTGAGCTCTGTGCAGCCGGCTGGCACGCAGGGTGGGATGGGGAGGTGGGCTCAGGCAGCTGGAGGGATGCTTGTGCCCCCTTCCTGACTCATCTGCATCTCCCTCTGCTTGCGGCAGCGCCCACGGGACGGGGCATGGAAGTCATGGCTCCCGCCATCATCAACGCCTTGAATGGCTCCTCCGTGAAGCTCTCCTGCACCTTCAACTCCTGCTACAAGGTGGAGAACAAGCAGTTCTCCCTCAACTGGACGTACCAGGAGTGCAGGAACTGCTCTGAGGAGCTGGTGAGTCCTGGCGGGAATGGGGATCTGCTGAGAGCTCGCGGGACCAGGTTGAAGTAGTCGTGTGCATTCCTTGGGATCCCAAGGAGCTGCTCCTCCTGGAGCTTTACGGGTGCTGCTGGGCTCAGGGGTGCGTGCCCAGGGCAGGGGAGGGGGGTGGCTGGCCGGGGGAAGTGAGCACGCGAGGTGCCAAACGCTGTCTCACCTCCTCTCCTTCGTGGGCTGCCCAGTTCCTGCAGTTCCGGATGAAGATCATGAACAAGCAGCTGGACCGCTTTGGGAACCGCGTGGAGTTCACTGGGAACCCCACCAAGTACGACGTGTCCTTCACCCTCAAAAACGTGCAGCTGGAGGACGAGGGCACCTACAATTGCTATGTCCTGAACCCCCCGGACCGTCACCGGGGCCATGCCAGCATCAGCCTGAAGGTGCTCACCAAAGGTCAGTAGCAGGGGACTCCCCTCTGCTGCCGGGCACCCATGGGTGCTGGCTGGCTCCCTGCTCCACCTTGTGCCCCGCCGTCACGCTGCACGGCGTGC